ATCTAGTAGTACGCTTAATGCGATCAATGTACCAAAAAGGAAAGCTCAACAGAACAATTGCCATGAAAATATTTACAGAAAAAGCAGAGAAAAGTCACGTCACGGCGGTGTGAAAGTGACTGAACTCGGGATGCCAGGTCATGACTGATAACATTACAGACTTTTCTTTGGATTTTGTCAAAAATCTTGAGATATATAGCAGGAGCACGAAACTAGATATGACAACAATATTCAATGTTCTTCTGTCTGAACTTCTGAGATGATGAGTCATCATTATCTATATTATTTACACGCGGACTATTATCCTCATCTTTGTTGTTGTTATCACAAGTTTTGATTGTTGTGCCTTTCGGTCTTCATCAGGACGATTCTGAGTTCTCCACTCAGAATTATTTCACTAGACAATAGTCTCGTGCAACGTTGATTCGTGAATTTGGTGATATTGTAATTGCAAGTTCAAACTCTGGGCTAAGCAGTGTGTACTAGAACTCAGTGAAAACGGGAAGAGCAATAACTTAGCAGCACTAAAATAAGAACTAGACGAGATATCCCAAGACACGGACAGTGGAACAAGAACAGTCTACTCCGTATATTAAATAGTGTTTCGTTCGAAATTCTCTGAAGATTACCCGGATCGACAATCTCCTAATGAAGGCCAGAGAATACAGTGGCCGAAACATTGTGATAACGACAAAAAGATGGAGACTTAGCCCGCGGGTAATTACTGTAAATAAGACAACGTTTTTATTAAAAAAAATTAAGATACCAATACAGGTGAACATATTATTTAGAGTAAAAATTGGTGTCATATAACAAGTAGACCTACCAAACACACCCACTCTTTCACCAGTCACATTGTATGACGTACATATTTCTCTGTGGTCTTAATGCCATATTTTCCCGATAGTATTTTACCATTAGTGGCATTTCCTTTCGGTTAAGTTTTTTTTTTTTCTTTTTTTTTTTTTTTTTACTTTTGCTGTTTCCAGCTGGCTAATTATAAAAGTGTATTGGAACATGATGGGTCAGCTGGCGTCGACGAACGTCACCGGTAATTTCCTACAGTACCGATAATTAAACCATATAATAATTACCAATATGTATTTATTGATACACTGCCTGCGTATTTATTTTTATATTTCCTGTCCCATCTGCAGTTTGAAAAAAAAAAACAAGTAAATCAACTTACGTTACTAAATTTATGAGTGATTACTTCTCTAAGTAATAATCTATATTAATATAATATTCATCACCATTTAGACAAAATGAACCACTTAATTAATCTGTTTCTTTACTCCTACGTTTCTTAGATTGTAGCCTTATTTATTTAAGCCTTTCATGCGAGGCACTCAGATACCTTCATCTATCATGCGGTCGTCTTGATTCAACTTGGTCTTGAAATAGAGCTTATCGTCGCCATTTTTGTTGTTCTGTTGCTAATCTTTTCTTTCCGAGAGATATTTGCATTTAACAGGTTATATTAAACATTTTAACATGAAAAGATATTGAGCAAAAATCGATTTATATAATACCAGGAGTAATCAATGAATCATGGATACCATTGAACGTCTAAAAATTATAAAAGGGAACGGATTAATTAAATGGTTCATTGGCCTCTATTTTAATTGTGAATTTTTTTATCTCTGCTTTAGTGAATCGCAATATATTGTTTTAAGACTTGTGCTTCATGCCTGCTCACTATTAAAACTTTCTAAAAATTACTATCATTTTTGATGGTACGGGTACACTAGTAGTAATAATAATAACATGCTGAATTATGGGCAGAAGGTAGAACGGAATGAATTTAGCCTACAGGAGACCTCAAGTTCGCATAAAAGATTTTAGAGCCATTATTTTAAACGCATCTGATACACTGTCAAGTATGGTAAATCCAGGAATGTATTGAACTCGCTAATTAAAAACGGTTCTAATATATTTACTGGGGAAAGAAGAAAACAGAGTTGAAGATAACGAGTGAATACATTTTTGACGCTTTTTAAATGCACGTTGGCGGGAGTAGTTTGACTAGAGCTTGTGTAGATTCAAGCTTAGAACAAGACGGCGCGATGGAAAGCAATGAAAACAATTGCGATTGGCGACTGATACAGAGAATTCGGCGAGAAAAATACTTCTAAGGGATTAAGCGTTATTCACAGCAGTATTAATTAACATCGTAAATTCCTAGTCCTTTAGGCGCCAAAACTAATTGGGAGATAATGTGTTAGGTTCTATCTAAAGTAATAGAATATTTGGAGGTCAGTAGGCCCGATCCAATACTGGAAAGTAAGAAAAGAGTTGATTGTAGCTACTATCAAAGATTGGGGATGCAAGGGTGGCGTAGCGGTTATCGACTCAGAAAGAGAAATCGGAGGGCAGAGTTCTAATTCCGATCGGATTCTTTACGTTCACTTTCGCACAAGTGGGAAAGGTATAAATCCATCTCTTTTCTTGCTACCCCCAATTATGGGTTAAATAACAGAACTGAATGTACCCTATTGCACTAGGTGTCGTTAAGAAAAAAGAAAAAGTCTAAAAGAAGAAAAGTACTAAATTCAAAACCGACTTGAAGAGGAATGGGCTTCGTCAGGTTATCTTGCTCTAGACACATCGCTGTTGCTATGGCTGCAGTGCATGTAATGACTGTCCAACCCTAATGGGTTACGGGACCCATGACTTGACGTGACGGAATTATTAAGCTCGGACAGATGGAACTGCTTAGCATAGGAGGGCAGTCCATCTAAGAAATTTCCAATCTCCGCTGCCTTGAAAATATGAACTAGGTGGGGCTCCTTAGCCATAGCGAAGTCATTCGGTCTAGAAAAATGAAAAATGGGGGCAAAAATTCAGGATGATATCTGACAACCCAATCCTAAACCTCTACTTCTGTTCAAAAGTTGTGAAAAGAGTGTGAACCGGGTAATAAGTGAACCAATCTACAGATGTGTCGAGGTGTGTGTGTGTGTGTGTGTGTGTGTGTGTGTGTGTGTGTGTGTGTGTAAAAAGATCTAACCCAAATAGATTTTGATCAGTACTCAGTAGTGATGGGTATGAGGATAAACAACATCCTGCATGTGTCAAAGCATCTGATCTGGAGATTGGAGGTTCTGAGGATCCTAGAACCACATCTTAATTGCTTTTGGTCCAGGACCCGGGGTTGTAGCACCTGTTAAGGTCCCAGCTATGGGCAAATAGTGAGCCTCTAAACAAAAGCAAAACTCTGTGTGAATGTGTAAAAACTTATTTTTATGAAGATGCCAGCAATACTTTTATATATAAAAAAATCAACAATACTTTGTTTATAGCAAAACGGCCAGCAAAACATTTTATAGTAGAATTACCAACAATATATTTTATAGCAAAATGACCAACAATACATTTTATAGTAGAATTACCAATAATACATTTTATAGCAAAATGACCAACAATACATTTTATAGTAGAATTACCAATAATACATTTTATAGCAAAATGACCAACAATACATTTTATAGTAGAATTACCAATAATACATTTTATAGCAAAATGACCAACAATACATTTTATCTGATTGTGTTCAAAATATTTAGATTTGGGCATTAAATAACACAGAGGTGTTGATATGCCGCTAAACAAAACCAACCAACCAACCAGTACTCAAGTCGGGGTTATCAATTCCAAATTAATGTCGTCATCATCTATTCCAGTGTTAATGACTTAATACTTAAGTAAAAAAATAAAATAAAAAATACGATGATGCGCAACATTTGTTTGTTTTATTGTCAATAGAAGAACCTACTCAAATTTTTCATGCTTTTTCTTACAATTGATCATGATAATCAATTAAACAGGCTGACATTATAGTATCGCTATTTAGTAAATTTGGCTTAGACTGGCACAAGCCTATAAATGAGGAGCACCTATTGAAAATTAAATGAATTCAGCAGTAATGATTTGCAAGATGAATTTGCTAACCATCAAACCAGTCTCACCGCAATCTTAAATATAAAATGTGGATATTAAGAAGATATTTGTTTGTAACGGTCGTACTCACTGTTTTATTACTTAATCCCCATATTCAACTCAGTAAAGGTGCTGTCTGTCAGATGGGATCCCAGTCAGCTGGACGAGTTGGAATTCACGCTGAAGCTACATTCTAATTTCTGATTAATGATATTGTAGAGATGTAACCCCTACAATATCACTGATCGGAAATTATCTCGCTTTGCGATCGTCGTCGCGATTATCGCCTTTTGCTCGAGATGAAGTCATGTGGGTCAAAAATGGTGAGTCCCGCAGTCAGTTTCCCCGAGTCAAACCGAGCGTTTGCTTCGACCGGGTTTCTGCCTGGGGCAACCAGCAGCTACGTAGTTCAGCTTACAAGACCATGGCGCCGTTTTCCTGTAGAAATATATCTTCACCAGATATAGAAATTATCTCAGGCTCGCAGTCCCCAATTTAGGAAAAAAAACCATGATTCGTCATTTCCTTGTTTGAATGGGATATGTCCTCGCTAGTGACTCCGGCCCATTCGAATCTGATATCCTAAATATGGCTTCTGCAGAAACGCAGAAAAATCTCCGGCAGCTCCAGTTTTCTTTTCGGGAAATATTATAAGACTCTATCTTTTCTTTCTTTTCAGTCTGTTTGTTGTTGCATACATGTTATAGTTTCTCGTCGTGGGATAAATGTAAATGTGTACATAATTTTATGTGTGACTTAGTGGTAAAAACTTTCCCTGAAGACAAAGTAAGTTTGTCATTCCTTTCTTTTCAACTACTCCGTTCCGCCTGTAAAATCAGTTGTTGTTATATCATGGATATAATAATACTAATAATGGGGAAATGTACAGGGAGAAGATTCCTTTCTTCAATGAATGTTTTTAAATTGAAAAATGATTTAGAAATTAATGACCACAACATAGTGATAAAAAATTAAAATTAAAGATGAAAAAATTAGTAAAACTTAATGATAGAAACAATTCATCTGAAAAATTCATAAAACGTGAGTTTGTCTTACATAGTTCAGATTTTGATCTCTAATAAGAAGGAACAAACTTGCGAGAAGAGCAGGAGACGTAGTAGAAGAAGAGGAAGGGGGTCGTAGAACAAGAAGTAAAAGAAGAGGACACATGGGACAAGAAGAGGAAGGAGATGGAGTAGTGGCAAAAAAAAATAAGAAAAAGAAAATGTAAGACAAGAAGAAGGAAAGCGGAGGAGACGTAGGACAAGAAGAGGAATGGGGTTGTAGGACAAGAAGTAAAAGAAGAGGACACATGGGACAAGAAGAGGAAGGAGAAGGAGGAGTCGTAAAAAAGAAGGAAAAGAAAATGTAAGACAAGAAGAAGGAAAGCGGAGGAGACGTAGGACAAGAAGAGGAATGGGGTCAGGGGACAAGAAGTAAAAGAAGAGGACACATGGGACAAGAAGAGGAAGGAGAAGGAGGAGTCGTAAAAAAGAAGGAAAAGAAAATGTAAGACAAGAAGAAGGAAAGCGGAGGAGACGTAGGACAAGAAGAGGAAGGGGGTCGTAGGACAAGAAGTAAAAGAAGAGGACACATGGGACAAGAAGAGGAAGGAGAAGGAGGAGTCGTAAAAAAGAAGGAAAAGAAAATGTAAGACAAGAAGAAGGAAAGCGGAGGAGACGTAGGACAAGAAGAGGAATGGGGTCGTAGGACAAGAAGAAAAAGAAGAGGACACATGGTACAAGAAGAGGAAGGAGAAGGAGGAGTCGTAAAAAATAAGGAAAAAGAAAATGTAAGACAAGAAGAAGGAAAGCGGAGGAGACGTAGGACAAGAAGAGGAAGGGGGTCGTAGGACAAGAAGAAAAAGAAGAGGACACATGGTACAAGAAGAGGAAGGAGAAGGAGGAGTCGTAAAAAAATAAGAAAAAGAAAATGTAAGACAAGAAGAAGGAAAGCGGAGGAGACGTAGGACAAGAAGAGGAAGGGGGTTGTAGGACAAGAAGTAAAAGAAGAGGACACATGGTACAAGAAGAGGAAGGAGAAGGAGGAGTCGTAAAAAAGAAGGAAAAGAAAATGTAAGACAAGAAGAAGGAAAGCGGAGGAGACGTAGGACAAGAAGAGGAATGGGGTTGTAGGACAAGAAGAAAAAGAAGAGGACACATGGGACAAGAAGAGGAAGGAGAAGGAGGAGTCGTAAAAAAGAAGGAAAAGAAAATGTAAGACAAGAAGAAGGAAAGCGGAGGAGACGTAGGACAAGAAGAGGAATGGGGTTGTAGGACAAGAAGTAAAAGAAGAGGACACATGGGACAAGAAGAGGAAGGAGAAGGAGGAGTCGTAAAAAAGAAGGAAAAGAAAATGTAAGACAAGAAGAAGGAAAGCGGAGGAGACGTAGGACAAGAAGAGGAATGGGGTTGTAGGACAAGAAGAAAAAGAAGAGGACACATGGTACAAGAAGAGGAAGGAGAAGGAGGAGTCGTAAAAAAATAAGAAAAAGAAAATGTAAGACAAGAAGAAGGAAAGCGGAGGAGACGTAGGACAAGAAGAGGAATGGGGTTGTAGGACAAGAAGAAAAAGAAGAGGACACATGGGACAAGAAGAGGAAGGAGAAGGAGGAGTCGTAAAAAAGAAGGAAAAGAAAATGTAAGACAAGAAGAAGGAAAGCGGAGGAGACGTAGGACAAGAAGAGGATGGGGTCGTAGGACAACAAGAAAAAGAAGAGGACACATGGTACAAGAAGAGGAAGGAGAAGGAGGAGTCGTAAAAAAATAAGAAAAAGAAAATGTAAGACAAGAAGAAGGAAAGCGGAGGAGACGTAGGACAAGAAGAGGAAGGGGGTCGTAGGACAAGAAGAAAAAGAAGAGGACACATGGTACAAGAAGAGGAAGGAGAAGGAGGAGTCGTAAAAAAGAAGGAAAAGAAAATGTAAGACAAGAAGAAGGAAAGCGGAGGAGACGTAGGACAAGAAGAGGAATGGGGTTGTAGGACAACAAGAAAAAGAAGAGGACACATGGGACAAGAAGAGGAAGGAGAAGGAGGAGTCGTAAAAAAAAATAAGGAAAAAAAAAATGTGAGACAAGAAGAAGGAAAGCGGAGGAGACGTAGGACAAGAAGAGGAATGGGGTTGTAGGGACAAGAAGAAAAAGAAGAGGACACATGGGACAAGAAGAGGAAGGAGAAGGAGGAGTCGTAAAAAAAAAAGGAAAAGAAAATGTAAGACAAGAAGAAGGAAAGCGGAGGAGACGTAGGACAAGAAGAGGATGGGGTCGTAGGACAAAAAGAAAAAGAACAGGACACATGGTACAAGAAGAGGAAGGAGAAGGAGGAGTCGTAAAAAAATAAGAAAAAAAGAAAATGTAAGACAAGAAGAAGGAAAACAAGGAGACGTAGGACAAGAAGAGGAAGGGGGTCATAGGACAAGAAGAAAAGAAGGACACATGGTACAAGAAGGGAAGGAGAAGGAGGAGTCGTAAAAAAATAAGAAAAAGAAAATGTAAGACAAGAAGAAGGAAAGCGGAGGAGACGTAGGACAAGAAGAGGAAGGGGGTTGTAGGACAACAAGAAAAAGAAGAGGACACATGGTACAAGAAGAGGAAGGAGAAGGAGGAGTCGTAAAAAAATAAGGAAAAGAAAATGTAAGACAAGAAGAAGGAAAGCGGAGGAGACGTAGGACAAGAAGAGGAAGGGGTTGTGGGACAAGAAGAAAAGAAGAGGACACATGGTACAAGAAGAGGAAGGAGAAGGAGGAGTCGTAAAAAAGAAGGAAAAGAAAATGTAAGACAAGAAGAAGGAAATGTAAGACAAGAAGTAGGACAAGAAAAGGAGGACACATGGGACAAGAAGAAGGAAGAAGGGGTCGTAAAAAAGGACAAGTAAAAAAAGAAGAAAGGAAACATGAAGAAAAAGGGACAAGAAGAGGGGGGTCGTAGGACAAGGAAAAAAAAGAAGGGACACATGGTACAAGAAGAGGAAGGAGAAGGAGGAGTCGTAAAAAGAAAGGAAAAGAAAATATAAAGACAAGAAGAAGGAAAGCGGAGGAGACGTAGGACAAGAAGAGGAAGGGGGGTCGTAGGACAAGAAGAAAAAGAAGAGGACACATGGTAAGAAGAGGAAGGAGAAGGAGGAGTCGTAAAAAAGAAAAAAGAAAATGTAAGACAAGAAGAAGGAAAGCGGAGGAGACGTAGGACAAGAAGAGGAAGGGGTCGTAGGACAAGAAGAAAAAAGAAGAGGACACATGGTACAAGAAGAGGAAGGAGAAGGAGTCGTAAAAAAGAAGGAAAAGAAAATGTAAGACAAGAAGAAGGAAAGCGGAGGAGACGTAGGGACAAGAAGAGGAATGGGGTCGTGGGACAAGAAGAAAAAAGAAGAGGACACATGGTACAAGAAGAGGAAGGAGAAGGAGGAGTCGTAAAAAATAAGGAAAGAAAATGTAAGACAAGAATAAGGAAAGCGGAGGAGACGTAGGACAAGAAGAGGAATGGGGTTGTGGGACAAGAAGAAAAAAGAAGAGGACACATGGTACAAGAAGAGGAAGGAGAAGGAGGAGTCGTAAAAATAAGAAAAAAGAAAAAATGTAAGACAAGAAGAAGGAAAGCGGAGGAGACGTAGGACAAGAAGAGGAATGGGGTTGTAGGACAAGAAGAAAAAGAAGAGGACACATGGTACAAGAAGAGGAAGGAGAAGGAGGAGTCGTAAAAAAATAAGAAAAAGAAAATGTAAGACAAGAAGAAGGAAAGCGGAGGAGACGTAGGACAAGAAGAGGATGGGGTTGTGGGACAAGAAGAAAAAGAAGGGACACATGGGACAAGAAGAGGAAGGAGAAGGAGGAGGAGTAAAAAAGAAGGAAAAAAGAAAATGTAAGACAAGAAGAAGGAAAGCGGAGGAGACGTAGGGACAAGAAGAGGAATGGGGTTGTAGGACAAGAAGAAAAAGAAGAGGACACATGGTACAAGAAGAGGAAGGAGAAGGAGGAGTCGTAAAAAAAAGAAGGAAAAAAAATGTAAGAAAAAGAAAAAGCGGAGGAGACGTAGGACAAAGAAGAATGGGGTTGTGGGACAAGAAGAAAAAGAAGTAGGACAACAAGAAGAGGAAGGGGAAGGAGGACGTAAAAAAAAGAAAAAAAAATGTAAGACAAGAAGAAGGACGGAGGAGACGTAGGACAAGAAGGATGGGGTCGTAGGACAAGAAAAAAAAGAAGAGGACACATGGTAAAAAGAAAGGAAAGGAGGAAAAAAAAAGAAAAAAAAAATGTAAGACAAAAGAAGGAAAGCGGAGGAGACGTAGGACAAGAAGAGGATGGGGTCGTGGACAAGAAGAAAAAGAAGAGGACACATGGGACAAGAAGAGGAAGGAGAAGGAGGAGTCGTAAAAAAAAAATGAAGGAAAAAAATGTAAGACAAGAAGAAGGAAAGGTCGGAGGACAAGACGTACACATGGACAAGAAGAGAAGAAGAAGGGGGTCGTAAAAGACAAGAAGAAAAAAAGAAGACACATGGGACAAGAAGAGGAAGTAGGAGGAGGAGGAATTGTAAAAAAAAGAAAAAAAAGAAAATGTCAGACACGAAGGAAAGCGGAGGAGACGTAGGACAAGATGAAGCGGAAGAATTATTCGTATTTGGACTTCATTAAAATACTTTTTATCGCATACAACTTCGTAAGAATCATGGTCATCAATGCATTCGTATGAGGATTGCTTAGTCAAGTAAATACCCGTTCATTTGCTGATATCAGCTTTTGTCTTACTGTCAGCTGTTATTAACTAATTTTATTCATTTGCTGAAATATCATCTAACGACTGATGTACCTGAATCTCAGCCACCAACTGACACAATGTTTGTTTTAGATGGAGGTGCTCTCCTCCACCGAGTGAAGTGGTTGCCTAGGAGAACATACAGTGACATGGTTTCAGAGTACCTGAGCTACATGAAGGCTAAATACATATCATCAAGCATCATTTTTGATGGTTACAATACAGGCCTGTCCATAAAAGAACATGAACATCAGCGAAGAGCAGCTTAGACTTCTGCTAACATACAAATCAAAGATGACTTCCAAGTTGCTGTTCATCAAGAGTTTTTCCACTCAAATGAGAAGAACAAAGATCAGTTTGTCAAGATGTTATATCATTCTTTGAAAGCAGACGGACATCGGGTGGTCCAAAGTGAGAGATGCCAACATGGACATTGTCTCTGAAACTAGCTACTGAAGGAAATTTAGTGACTTTAATAGATGATGACATCCTTTTTGTTCTTTTACTTTTCCCTTGAAATAGCTGACATCTATATGCATTCCAAGGGAAAGAAGTCTTGGGGAAAGATGAAGCATCCGTATAATCGCAGAGAAGACAAATTTCTACGTTCTGCAAAACCTGCCACTTGTCCACGTATGGGATGGATGTGACTCAATGCCATCTCTATTTGGGCGATGGGAAATGTGATATAATCAGGTTTATTCATAAATCAAAGGAGATCCAGTCTTGTTGCGTTACTTTAGCTGATGTAACTGCTTCTCCTGCCTAAGTTGCAAATTTTTGTCAATATATATGGAGGAAAACCAGGCGATACATCGGACGCCATCAGATACATCAAGTATATGGGGTATGCCGCAGCATCAAAAAAGAAGTTATAGCCTGAAAGACTGTTTTTTTACTGAACAACTCTCAGAAATGGGGAAATAGGAAATGAAAGATGGTACTTTAACCGTAGTTCATACTAATCTATATCCTGCTCATGAGAAACTACTATGAGCGTTGTTAGTGCCAGATTGCGTCCTTGCAGCACAAACATCTGCTCTTGCCGGAAACATGGTCATACATGTTTAACAGCATACATGTGATTATAGGGTCACCGATAGCAACAATATTAGTCTGGCTCTACAAGAAAAAGACAAATAGGAAAACGATGCTAATTTATTTGAACGTCCATTTTGAGTTATATCAGGCTATTTACATTGTTCTGTTTGCTGTTTTGGTGGTCGAGTTGGGAATATTTCAATACTCGTTTATGGTGTCTTATAACCTTTTCTGATGGAGTGATATTTTCTGGGCCTGGTATTTTTGCGATAGTGTTTGAATTAAAGATTTCAAATTCTATAATTTTCTGTTTTTTGTACCAAGGATCACATTTTCAGCAGACATAAAAAAAAAAAGATTTGAAAAGATACACACACTTTTTAAATAAGCACATCCATTGTCAGGGCGAGCCATCAGTTTGCTTAGCAAAACATAACTTTCAGACCTCAAGTTGCCTAGTGGGTCGTAATGAGTTGTTTGTATGCATTTGTTTTCTTCATTCTCTGGTCATACCTTACTTGTAGCACACAAGACCGTCAAGCTTTTTTCGAATATGTCCTGTGTTTTACTGACCAGACTGCCAAGAAAGAAGAGGTCAAAGTGAAGATAAAATTATTTTGCCAATTTGTCACTATTAACATCATTTACAACCAGGAAAAATTTAATGTTCTCACCATCAGTGCTTCTTGAGATATAAAATTTCATTACTTTGTTGTCTAGTCTGCAAAATATTCAGATATCACGTGACCATTTTGAAAGTTCTATACTGCGAGAGCAAGGTCTGAGAGCAACAGATGGGTTGATCAGAAGTATTCTAAAATATTTGTCCGACTGTCTCCTCTCTCTCTCTCTCTCTCTCTCTCTCTCTCTCTCTGCAAACTATTAGGCAAATTCAGTTTGACAGACTAATTACTGGTCTGTAAATTGTGGGTGTTTGGTCAGTATTTCATTTACATATATATCTGGTAGTTCTCTGTTTTGTGTTTTTTTTATGTTATCTGCTGCTATATACATGACTACTGATACATACCAGCTGATAATGGTGAAATACGGCAACGTTTTATTTCAGGTTCATTATTTCAGATTTGGTTTGTAAATCATCTTCCATAACTAAGTTTCTCCAGGTGGTCCAAATGAAGATTTTTCAGTTTTCAAAAGAGGAGACTATAACCTTTCTAAAAGTACCATATTTAGTTTGGTAACATTTTTCCCGGTGAACATTGATATCGACCAAGCTAGAAAGGATATGACACATGAAAGAAAGTTTTATATATATATATATATATATATATACTAATGATAACGCAATACAAAACTGAAGAGCCACTTACGGTAGAGCGTTACAGATTATGTGAGGAAGTATGTAGAGGTTTAGAAAATGAACATTGTACGGATGGGATGACCTAAAGAGGTTAAGGTTGTATTGTTTGAGGAAATATCCACGTGGGAATTTGTTCCACAGAGTAGGTATTTTGGGGGAAAAGCTGTCTGAGTGGAACCTTCTTAACGGGGTTCGACCTCACTGAAACCCTTTGATTGTACCTTCTTCTTTGTAATTTGCATTGTTTTGTATACGCTGGAATTTACTTGTGATCTCATATGTTAATTGATTGATATTGATTGATATTGATCTTTTTCCAACAGCTACCACTGAGCCTTAGTTTAGAAAAAATAAGTTACTTGTTCAGGAAGATCAACAAATTTGTGCATCCCTGATATTTAATAAAATTTGCTTTTGTTTTATTTTAATAAAATGGTTTTGGTTTAATATCTCACTGTGTACCTCTCGTTATTTTTAAGGTGCGCCTTGTTGTCGCTTGATCTTCATTCTCCCCAATTTCTTTTAACCGGCCCCACAAAAATATACAATAATGGTCCCTCCCCTCACACACACACACACACACACACACACACCATTGTTTCATAAGCTAGACAAGTAGTGAGATCAACTCTAAGGCTGATCTAAGATTTTACAAGTTTGTCCATGTCACTGAAGGTTCTTCTCATCCCAGCGACGGGTAAATAGCAGGACAGACCGGGTTCTTATAGACTTGGATGGCAACTGGTGTACCGCAGAAAGAAATGGCATCCTACTGCGGGAAAAAATCTGCTTCGTCATGACAGACATGTATCGAAAGATACATGATCGCCTAAGCATGTATCACGCATGGCACGTAACTGACTGATAACTTGGTAACATGGAAGGCAATTTAAAAAACAAACAAAAAAACATATCCTCTTCTTTTATACAACTTCAGGGATCACGTGGTGACCCTGTCACATGCTCATATAACTATAATGGTCAATAAAGATAATAAGCTTTTTGTTTAGTAAGAATTTCAACAACACAAAGTAAGTACACTGCTCCTTCCTCGCCTGATCAACAGTCAAATTTCTTCACAGTTTATTCTGCAATTATGTTCAGCAGAATTTAGTTACAGTTTCTTGGATAGAGTACTTTAAACCGTAGTTTAAGAAGGCCAGTACGTTAAAATCTTCTGTCTCGATTACCCATAATTTCATGCTAGCACAGCCATCGATTGCTTCCAAACTGTTCCATCTAGCCAATTCCTCTAGCAAGGTTTGGGTCAGCAAATATTGTTTTCGGGCCTTTCCTCAATGGTGCCGTAGACTGGGATCATCTCCCTAGTCCGATATGATCAGGGTCGCCTACTTAACAACTCGATCATGGCAGTATTCGAACCCGAGTCCTATGGTCAGAATACTAACGTTCAGCTATAAATACCTCAGTTCCAAGTGGCTAACTAAACATCGACTTCCTGATCTTCTCTAAATGCCAGTCAACTCATCTTTAACTCTTTTCTTCAGAACCTTGTCGACATGTCTATCTGTCCATCTCTTCATTAGTCAATTTCACGTTCTGTCTCCATGTCAGCGTAAACATCTCTCTAATAAAAGAAAAAAAAAGAAAGAAAAAAAAAAAGAAGAAACAACTTAGGTTTGCAAATTCGTTTGGATCAGATGCCGTCCGTTCGTTTGTCTGTTCGCTTCTCAGTAGTCAATTTCTCACGCTAAGTCTCTGACCATCTGACCTTTCACCCCATATCCCTACCGCAGTCCTCATCCGATTACCTCTCTGCCTTTTCCTTTCTTGATTTCATCATCGAAATATGTAACAATAGCGTCTCCCCGAGAACAAACCGGAAGAATGATTTCCTCTTCTTGTCGCAAGACTAACACTGACATCGCTGTAGCTGACGACGTCTGTATTCCCCTATAAATATCAAGGAATGGTAAGAGGATTTTACAAGTCTATTAACACGTGTACACAGAAAAACTATCAATAATTTGGTATGTTAATAACTATCTGGTTTTATACATCTGAAATCTACTTGACCGATAAAATAGTCACGAGTTTTCACGTTACGTTCAGAGATCGAGGGAGAATTATTTAGACACTTGCAAAAGATTTTTTAATACATTTCCGATGATTAAATTGAATTTTATTTGATGTAAAATTAACGATTACTATGAGAACAGCATCTTATACGTTAAATATTAAATGCAAAACCATGAAATAACAGTGGAAAAAGTACAAGGAAACTGTGAAAAATAAAACCCAAATTAATAAAATCTATCTAGATAAATAAACAGCAAATTCTCTCTGCCCGTCCGTGTGTCTGAATCTTCTTTAAATAGGGCCATACTTATTCTACGTAGATATACCCTTTTGTAATCAGAATGAAAATCTGTCTTTCATCTGGTGCTTAAACATCCAGCATTGGGATTTCTGTCTGGATGTGAAGGGAACAGTTAAAAATTCAAATTTTAAAGTAAGTGAAAAAATGAGTGATTTTAAAAGTTTTTAATTTATATTGAGTTTAAAGTAACAGAAAAACTTTGTGAATTTATATGTTTTGTGTTAAATTAGGGTTCAAAATATCTCCAAAACTTTGTGAATTTTGGAAATCAATTTTATATTTTCAAAATGCCAAAGAATCAGAATTAAAATGAAAGGTTTCGTGGAGTGAGGTTTTAAAGTTCCACAGAATTTGACTTGAAGAACTCAGCTCAGTTGAAGATCCACGGAGTTTGTGATTTGAAGAACTCAATTTTCGGCTTGAATTAGAATTTTGGCTTAAATCGGAG